TGAGACCATGGTCTAATATTCATATTGCACTTACAATGCATCAAACACTTCTTTAAAATCTAACTGTTAAAGTAACAGTCTTTCCTCACCATGGCAACAGTTTCAAAGCCTCGTGTAGCCTTGGGATTACGCCGTCTTTCTTTACAAATGATCTCTTGTTTGTTCATCCAGCAGCTTGTATTTGAATATGGGCTGGTTTTTATGTTAAGATAAAACTATATTATATTTCTCTGTTCAAAGGCACTTTAGGTCAGGGAATGACAAGTTTAAGCTGTAGTGAGTGTTTTGCTCATCACATGTCTAACCTAAATTGAGGTCAGTGGACTAAGATTTGCACTATCACAAGGAATAGACACATCTCATGTCAACTATTACAATAGCTCATGCCTTTTTCTGTAAACCCAATAAATGGATTCACAGAAACATGTTACGAGAAGGTGGCCACCACATATCAATATATATATATATATATACATTTTATATATAATAAAATATGTTCAGATTAATTATATAAGCGGTCAATCAACATAATCTGTCTATATAAACTGTTAGTATGAAAAATAAAATACTATAACATCTTTTTACAGATAATAGGTCAAAAGGCCACAAGGGGGCGGCATTTATCTACACAGTGTACTATGGAGTTAAAATTACACAACCATGATCTTGATATTTTGGAATAATCATCTCATAATTTTAATCACCATTATTCATGAATGTTCATTATAATTAAGTATTTGCACTGCACTTAGCATTTACAGACACTGGATAGATTAGATATTGAAGCAGTGATTTTCGTGTCATTTTGTGCGTTTTTCAAATAAAACAATTGGCAATCATTTTTTTCTCTACAAATATGTTTTTTTTTTTTAATATTTGTAATTTTATTTTAATATTATTATTATTATTTCTTTAATTAAGTTTGATCAAATGCAATTGGCCTAGTAATATATAATAAATAGTCAAATAAATGAGACTTGTATGACTAGTTATCAGAATTTTATCAGAGAAAAATTCGAACAGGTTATGAACATTTACATATAAAAAAATATTTTCAAACTCCAGAAATGCAGACACTGAACATGTCTATTCAATATACAAAATATTTTTTTTAAAGAAAATACACCTTTGCATAAAGAACTCTTGTAAACAACTTGTGCAAAGAGTTTCCACTAAATCAAATATTCATCAAACATTTTTAAACGGTATGCAAACCGTACATCCATTTTAAGATCCTTAATTCTATCTCAATACATGGTAAAAATAAATATGCTTATGTAGGCTATCTTGATGCTTTTTAAACATTTGCTGAAATGTATGGAAATGTACTGACAACTTGCCAACAACCAAGTGCGTTTTGAACAGCTCTTCGTCTCTTGACTTTTAAGTGAACAATAGTTTAACAATGTAACAATATTTAAATCGTGAAAATCCACAAAACACAACTGTAAACCCATTAGTTATACAGTAAACAAATTAATGCAGCGAATGCAACATTTCGACCTAATTTCAACCAGCCAGTCTGACTTGAAACGGCACGTTTAACATTTCCAAAGGTTAACGTAACAAAAACAGCAAATCTAGATCCAAATGAATTTTTTAGCCTACTTATATTTAGTTTTCACGTGTCTGTCCGTCAGTCAAGCGGATGATGCACCTGTTCGGGATGGCCGTTGTGCGGCGGGTAGCTGCAGGCGGAGATGGAGCTTCCGCCAGGGCTCACCGGAGGAGTCATGCCGCTCAGAGGCACCAGAGCGTTCGGATGCCGGTGGTACGGTCTGTAGGACGGGTGAAGGTGATGGTGTTGACCGTAGTAATAACTCACGGGAGAGTTGGTATAATCGTTTGGAGACAGAGGGCGCGCGTTACCAAGCATGGGCTGCAGGTAGCTGGAGATGTGCGTCGGAGAGCTGGACTGGTGGCTCCAGGAGCTGGTGCTGACGAACGGGCTTTGCCAGTAAACGGGCTCCTGTTGCAGGCAGTACGAGTCGGTGAAGTTAAATCCAGACGGTAAGGGTGGTGGTCGGTAGGGTCTCTTGACGCGCCTCCTGCGCCTATAATTACCCTTCTCAAACATATCGCTAAACGCTGGGTCTAGCGTCCAGAAGTTTCCCTTCCTCTCCCCGCCACTCTCCCGGGGAATCTTCACGAAGCACTCGTTGAGGCTCAGATTGTGCCTGATGCTGTTCTGCCATCCCTTTTTGTTCTTCTCGTAGTATGGAAACTTGGATATGATGAAGCTGTAGATGTCATTCAGGGTCAGCTTCTTCTCCTCGCTTTCTCTGATGGCCATTGCAATGAGAGCCACGTACGAATAAGGAGGCTTTTCTGGTGCTGGAGCGGCTCCTCCATCCCCCGCGGTACCCTGGCCGTCCTCTGCGGTATCGCGGGATTGCAGGTTATCAGACCCCGCGCTGCGATCCATGAGATGGGCTTGAGCTGGATGAATGAAAAGGCGAGATTCTCTGCAGCGAACAGCACAGGTGTAAAGTTAAAAGTGTCCAGGTGTGCTTCGGATTTGCTTTAGTCTCCACCTACCTGCCCTGCCTCCTGTTGGTATCCTGAAATAGAGGTCAAAAGTTCGCGAATTCAACATGAAAGAGGCGCGCGAGGGTCGCAGACGTATTTTGACTGCTTGGTAAATGTTACAGTAAACATCTGTTTGATGTCGCCGGCATTAAAAAACACTTGCTAACTGCGTTAAGCCAACGTTAATAAAATAAGAATAATATGTTTTATTTTTATTTTTATTATGTTGTGAACTGATTGTGCAATTGAATTTAAAATATTTGATTAAATATAAAAACTGCAGGCTAAACTTTGCAATGTCAAAAAGCATTGCAAATCATTCTGTCCTTTATCGTATTTTAAAAGGTTTGTGCGCACCTTTTTAATCCGCAGGCCTAAATAATCATGATATAGGCTAAATAATATTAGACACATATATAACATTTAAACACATTTAACTAACTAACGCATTTGTGGATTTTGTGGACTGCGCATGTTTCAAGAACAAAGAGCATCTGATTTGTAAACTTCATCCTCTGCACAGTCTTCCCACAACTGCTCCGTCCAATCAAATAGATGAAACGTGCCATCAAAGGTGCCGCCTTGTTAAGACCTTATTTGATGAGGCTGTATTCTCAACATAATATATGATATAGCCTACGTCTATATGCAAAACATAGCCTATTTTATAACTTTATATTTGTTGATGTGAAATTATGATTTTTTTTCTTGAAATATGGGCTGTAAAAGGCTATTTAAAAAGTTAACAATTAGGCTTTTTACAAAAAGTATTTTAAATTCTTTTTTAAAAGTTTTTTTTTTCTTCTGATAGTGATTGGACTGGAATTAATTATCTGAAATTATAGCAGTATTTAGGCTGAAAATGAAAGTCTTTTGGATTAAAGTTGTGTGAATTTGGCTTTAAGATTGACTTGCATAATGAGCTTAAAATGAGCCAGAATTACTATAATTTTGGTAACACTTTATAGTAAAGTTCATTAGTTAAGGTTAGTTAATGCATACATGAAAATTGACTAATAATTAGCAATACATTTATTACAATATTTATTATTTTTTAATGTCAGTTCATTGTTAGTTCATATTAGCTCAGGTCCATTAAATAATATTAACAGATACAACTTTGGTTTAATGTATATATGCATATAATATAACTAAGATTAATACATGCTTTATCAGTATTTTTTAGAATTGTTCATTCATGCATAGTTATTTATTGCTATATATAACTAATAACTAATGTTAACAAATGGAACCAGTAGAGTGTTACCTATCATTTTAATAACTGCAGTGTGAATTGTTCTGCATATTGTCATTGAATGAATCTTGAGCTCAGAGACATTGTTTTCAATAAATAAACAAACAAATAAAGAAAGAAAATAAATACTGTTTGGGAAATTGTTAATGCTTATATCAGCATTTTTGAACATTGTTCTCAACAGGTTTGATCAACTAAAATGAAAAATTTTATTCTCTAATTAACCTGCTCTTTTGTACGTTAAGTGCAACAATATTTTTTTCTAAAAATGTATTTATGCGATTTATTTCAAAATCGCAGTAATATCAGTGATTTATGGAATGTGCAGTATATACAGTATAATTGACCACAGGTTGTAATGTCCTTAGTCTGAATGTGTTTTACAATAACATTAAAACATTCTTACAGCAAGATGCATGTATTAACTTGCCTCTTTTTTGGGGGGGGGGATTTCCCACTGACAGTTTCATCTTTATGTGCATCGACAAATACATTGCTAACTACAGAGCCTCAGATCTTCAGTTACCTCCATTAAAGGCAGCACATTCATTAGAGTAAATACATCAGAAATCCATCTTCTAAACCATTTGCAAAACACATTAATGGCTTGTAATTCAAATGAATTTGCATTCTGTTGTTTATTTTTTATACCACTCTGAGCTGTATGTCCTATACTCCAGATTGTTATCATTCTTTCAGGAGACAGACTGTCTACACCCAGCCAGTGATGGAGAAAGATAAACTCTGGTACTCTGGTGTACTTTTTATTATTTACTTTCAGTTCCCATTGTATATTTTTCCTTGCACTTTTTGAAAATGTAAATGATTGCATCGTTCTCTAACACAATTCAAAAGGGCAACATGCAAGAACAACTGAATGTTTCAAATACATCATGATATGGGAACTGCAACACAAAATAAGATCAAGGAAAAACCTTTACAACTACCTTCACTATTGGCCTATTCATTGAGCAACTGACTTTACAAATACATGCTCAGAATTTCTGAATGATGAAAGAGAAAGTTTTAAATTTACATTTAAGTATTAAGTAGACACAACAGGAGCAGGAGAAATTTGTCAAGGAGCCAACAATATTTGTAATATACAATGCCAGAGATTAGGAAGCAATCTAGAGAAAAGGAGAAATTCAGAGAAGATATTTCAATATTATTTTTTTAACATGAGTGTGAAAAAATACAGAAGACACCAAAACCAATGTATAACTATTACAATGGAGATTTATTTCAATCTGGTAATTGAAACACCTTTATTTTATGTACAAAATATTCAATTATCCTGTTTTCCCTTGACATTATGAGTTAAATCATAAAACAGTCAGAGGCTTAATGGACACAGTAACAGACATTTGCTACACCAAATCTTTCAGTGTCACATTGTTAACAAAAGTAGATCAACACAAACATATTGCACTTTATAATATCACATCATTACGATAATGACATGACATGGAATTCTTCTTTCAGGATGTAGGATAAACAGAAACACTTAAATGTACAGCAATATGGCAAAGTCGTCAAATAGATTTTTTATAAAGATGCAACACATGCCCAACAGACATCATTCTGTTAAATTAAACAGCACAAGCATTCAGTCTGAAACACATCCAGTGTTTAAAAACACAAAAAATGATTGAACATGCACAAAAACATGTTTTACAAAGCTAACATCATACTTTGCGGCATAATGTAGAATCTCAGCTGTATTTAACAGAGCTCAAGTTAAGAGGATACGGTCTTCTCATTTATTTGAGAATTCCTTTATTCTCCATTATTATATCCACAATTGTTGAGCAGCAAGAATAAAGTTGTAGTCGTCACCCAAGGGAAATGCTATCCATGTATTTCCGTGATATAGATTTACTGAGCACGCAGGTGACAACGACCAGTGTACATTCCAGGTTGACCTTGAACAGGTCTTTTCTATATGCTCATCTCCAATTGTAATAAAGATAGAAACCGATAAAGCTTAAGTTAATGGTCAGGCTGGCAAACAGTAGACCAGGCCAAAGTGTCAGGCCCAAAAACCCTGTGAAAAAGACAAAAACATTCAAACAATAAATAATTATGCAGAACAGAGTAAACACTGCTACTCTAATGAACTTCCTATTCGCACCTTTCCATCCAGGCTTGTTGTCAGTTCCATTTCCTGTGGTCGTGTCTACACGGCAGTTTGAAGAACCGGAGGAGCTGCCCATTCGCTTCTCCACATGCTCAAACACACTGCCCTCATCGATCAGTGAACCTGAATCTCAAACAAAATCATATCTATATCAATCTTAAAAGTTCAAGAATATTGAGAACAGAACATATAAATAACATATGTGACCCTGGACCACAAAACCAGTCATAAGTAGCACAGGTATATTTGTAGCAATAGCCAACAATACATTGTATGGGTCAAAATGATTTAATTTTTATTTTATGCCAAAAACCATTAGGATATTAAGTAAAGATCATGTTCCATTAAGATATTTTTAAGATATTTTGTAAATTTCCTACTGTAAATATATTAAAACTTAATTTTTGATTAGTAATATGCATTGCTAAGAACTTCATTTGGACAACTTTAAAGGCGGTTTTCTCAATCTTTTGATTATTTTTGCACCCTCAGATTCCAGATTTTCAAATAGTTGCATCTCAGCCAAATATTGTCATATCCTAACAAACCATACATCAATGGAAAGCTTATTTATTCAGATCATGTATAAATCTCAATTTCAAAAAATTGACCCTTATGACCAGGGTCACATTTGCCCATAAAACCAACAGACTTGAATGATATGAGGTTTTTAAATTAAGAAACGGAGGTTTCTAATCTTCAGTTATTAGTAATACAATATAATTTTCAAGTAATACTAGTAAATAAATAGATTGAAGATTGCACCTTAAAAATAGCATTAGTATGTTGTCCTCAAAAAAGCATTTGGACACTTAAGATAATAAAAGTTAGCTGACAAATAAAAAAAAAAGTCACAGTCACACTTTTCAAAAGCAAAATAAAGCAATAAAAAATTTGGTAAAATTCTAGGGCCACTCTATACTATCATTCAGCTCAAATGGTTGACAGAAACTTTAGGACATTCATGTAGATTAAAAATACATCCAAAAGTGTCCTATACCATGATTCTGTGAATGGAAGTGTGGAACATCAGGCAAGAATCCTCCGCTGTGCACGTGGCTTTGCTCTGAAAGAAACGGAGGTGGTGAGGTCAAACTTGAAGGCTCCAGAGGAGAGGAAAAGAGCCGCAGCTTTTGCCCACTGATGTTGAGTCTGGCCGGACTGATGAGTGGCCGGCGCTGCCTGGCGGAGCTGGAGGTGGAAGTGACGGACCCTGCCACGGAAGGGGTTGGAGATGGTCCAGGAGAGGAGGGTCGGCTTCCAGATTTTAGAGAGAAGTAATCTATTGAAAAATGAAAGAAATTAGTTTCACCGCGTTTATCAAATGGCGATGTGACTGATTAGTAGACAATTATCATATACGATTTATCTGGTTTGAGTTCATAAAGATGTATACAACAATTCCTTCACTTCTTCAGAGTTACCTGAAGGTGGAGAGTCTTTACACTGTGAAGATGGTCTACTCCCACTGAACAGGAAACCTGAATCTACAAGCAGAAGAACAAATCAGCACAATTGTTTGGGGGTCATTTTTATGTTTTACTTGATCAAAAATACAGTAAAAGTGGTAATGTTGTGAAGTATTTTTATACCATCTCAAATAACTGTTTTCCATTTTTTAAATGCATTTTATTCCTGTGATGCAAAGCTGAATTTTCAGCATCCCTACTACTCCAGTCTTCAGAGTCACACAATCCTTCAGAAAAACATTGTAATATGATTCAGTGCTCATTATTATCAATGTTAAGAACAGTTCTGCTGCTTAATATTTCTGTGAAAACTGATTTTTTTTTCAAGATTCTTTGAAAAATAGAAAGTTCTTATTACGTTCAGCACTTATTCAGAAATGTTTTCTAACATTATAAATGTATTTACTGTCACTTTTGATCGATTTAAAGCATCCATGCTGAATAAAACCTAATTTCTTAAAATTTTAATTTTTTGGACAGTAGTACAACTGCAGTTTCTTATTTGAAACATTTCCATGGCTGCCTTCTCAAAAAGTGAAAGATAGCTATCCCACAAAAGACTGATAGAAATTCCCAGCAATTTTCATGATACAACACAAGCATCCAACTGCAAAGTAGAGACATTTAACGCTCTCATTCTGTCATTCCAGGAATGTCTCCATATGTGGAGCCAACACAGCTGCAGCCGTAGAGGAGCAGCACCATTACTGAGCATTATAGAGCAGATGGGTGAAGGTACATGATGGAGCAGGTACAGGCCCTGCTCACACAAAAGCCTTTTCAAGACCTCCTATAGAAGTGTGACGGAGAGATGAGTGATACTCTAATGTAAAAACAAGCTGTGAGAGATCTCAGTGGACTCTTAGTGATATTTTTTAAAATTAAAACTTTTGTTAGCTGTTGAAGATCACCATTACATATCCATCTCTATATAACGCAATGAGGTGGAAATGAATCAAACGCTGAGATCTCTCAGACAAGTGTGTGTGATTAAATCAAGAGCGTAAAGATCAAGCTCTGGCCCTTTTTATCACACCTGCCGAGCCACTGCATCTGATTACAGGAGGCTGACGTTTGCCATCGCATCTGAAGATCCACACATGAAACGAACCATTCTTCCACCGTCTCACAACAGTCATTTAAACACCACTCCCGACATCACCCTGATCCCAGGCTTTAAAAGCCTGTGTATTACAAAGTCCCGTTTACTGACAGGTCAAAGTTAAAAGCTATGGCAAACCAAGCTGTTGCCCCTGCCATCCCTTTTGATATACAGTATGAACAATATGTTGGTAGGTTATGCAGAGTTAAAACTGTCAGTCAGTTAGGTAACTATTTTTTTTTAATGCATAAACATGAATCAAAACATTATTGTTAAAGGGGTCATATGATGCGATTTCAATTTTTCCTTTCTCTTTGGAGTGTTACACATGGTTATGTTTACGCGGCGCGATGCAACGCAACGCGTAAAAAGACAATTATGGATTATAATGATTTATAATATGTCCACACTGGATGCAACGAATGCCTCGTTTATAATGGGTTTTCATGTTTTTGAATCATCGCTCCGGCCTGGACAGGGCATCATCACAATGTGGTACGGGCGTAACATTTCCGTCACACGCTTGAAAAGGTGGGGCATAGAGGAGAAACAATAATGTACAGTATGTGGAAAATAATGTGTTTTTTGAACCTTAAACCGCATAAACACATTTCATTACACCAAATACACAAAATAATGTTCTTTTTAGCAGCATCATATGACCCCTTTAAAGTAATAGTTAATCGAAAAATTACATTTCTGTTATTTACTCATTTTGCTCCAAAATGTGACTTAAAAAAAAAAATATATTTTCTACACTGATAGTTCATATTGATCTGTATCATATCTGATATGAGAGCTGATATGAAGGGCATTATCAGTGAATATATGATATATATATATATATATATATGTCACTGGACAGAGAAAAATTGTTCCACTGAAAAAATAACAGCATACAGCTTTGGAACAGCATGACGGTGAGTAAATAATGACAAATTTTATTTATAGGTTCACCATTCTTTTAAATTCAAAGATAAAATAAAAGAATGTAAATTAGTCACTTCCTGTAACTGCAAACTCATCAGCAGTGGGAAAATCCCTGTAGCATGCAGGTAGCTGGAGATACTGAACAGACTATTTCTCAATCACACTTCGCAGTTTTCTTTGGCAGTTGGCAAAATTCCCCTGCTAGGTGCGGCACCGTCTGGGGTGAAGAGTGAGCCGAGTTCCTTGTACCATGCATTCAAGTCAGTCAGTGACCCACATCTTTCCCATCATGCACTTCTGCATTGGTTCCACAAAACAGCACCTGGGGCCTCTCAGCTCTCACTATAGCAGCACATCTCACTTCACAAACAAAGTGAAGGTTTTTCTACATTATATGACTATTACAACTATGTTACAAAAAGCCAAATTCATTGCACAGCCTATTAAGTTTTATTGCAATATTTATTAAATTATAATTAGTTTTATTTAAAATATTTTTCATATTTATATATCAGCAGGTTATATGCATGGTTAAAAAAAAGTTTATTTGATTAAATATACAGAAAAACGGTAATGTTGTAAAATATTGTAAAATTACAGATTAAATAAAATGTTTTCTAGTTTAATACATCTTAAAATGTAATTATTTCTGTGATGGCAAAGCTGAATTTTCAGTAGCCATTACTCCAGTCTTCAGTGTCGCCTTTAGAAATTATACTAATATGCTGATTTGGTGCTCAGTTATTATCAATTATTATTGGTGGTTAATTTTTAATAACAGTTATTATTATCAATGTTGAAAACTGCCCAATATTTTTGTGGAAACCACAATACAATTCTCAGGATTTTCTGATGAATAGAACGTTCAAAAGAACAGCATTTATTTGAAATAGAAATCTTTTATAACATCATAAATGTATTCACTTCTATGATCAATTTTATTTGTCCTTGCTGAATAAAACTTGTTTTTTAAAGCTTACTTGCCCCAAAGTTTTGAATGGTAGTTTATCACAGTTTCCACACAAATGTTAAGTAGCAAAAACTGGTTTTAACATTGATAATAATAATAAGAAATACTTCTTAAGCAGCAAATCAGCATATTAGAATGATTTATCTATCTTATGCTTTACCTGCTCGTGCGAGGGAGGGGATAGTTCCCAGAGAGAGGGCCCTGTTGAGTCGCCCAGGCAGCGAGGAGGGCGAGGCTTTGCGCATTCTGTGGCTTTGCTGGCGGATGAGCAGCTGTGACAGGTTGGGGGGAGGAGTTGGGATGAAGGTAGAGGATGCAGACACAGGTGCAGACAGCGAGGGACAGTGATTACTGTAGTACGGCCCAGGAGAACTGCCAGACAGATACCTGCAACAGACAGAAGAGAATCAAGTTTCATGGAGCAAATATCTCTTCAGTTCCTGCAATGGAGGAAAACTGCAGAAAACTCTGCAGACTTCCACAGAATTCAAAAGCCTGATTATGGCTCCTCATTTGATGAATGTAGTAGATTTCAGTGTTGTAAAGATTTCATTTCAGACAATAAATATAAAGAATTTAAGCTAGCACATCTGTAAATGTATGAAATTATACATTAGTAATAGCTCAGTCGATATCCACTTGCTCAGTTCAAACATTTGATGCGGTCACGCTAATTTCCTGGTTACGTTTCTCTATTTATAAAAGCACAACAAGATTCCATCTCAAACAGCCTTTAAAAAAAAAAAGGCAAACACACAGTTTGCATTGTATCAGTGTTTTATTTTACTTTCATAATTGGGTTAAATAATACAAGTAGTGTAATACAGCTCCAGCATGCTGCTTTACTCAAAATACAACATTATTACAACAAATCTGAGCTTACGTTTCTGGACGGAAACCGTTTCACACTATTCAACAATGCAGTTGCTCATTTCACATTATATCTTTGGGGTCATTCCATGTCAAAATCACCAGAAACCACTGATCAGGTGTTGATGATATACCAGAAAAAGCACAGCAATGCCACAAACTGATTATTTCAGTTGAGGGTTTCTCAAAGTCAGACAACTATTTCCAGCCTGTGGGCAAAAAAGTATTAAAATGCTCCAAACAGATGTTTAGATTTGTAATGGTCAGAGGCCACAAAACATTCAGATGCATTTGAGATTCTAGTTTATTGTTTTATGGTAATTCAAATGGTCCAAATCAAAGTCTTAACTTGGTAAGAAACTGGATTTGACAAGATACCGTACCAATCTCGAAATTGGAAATATTCCTTAAACCCAATGACTTTCCTTCCAATCAATCTCTTACATCATGCGCCTTGATACAACATGCACAGATCTGTGATTTCATGTTGATAGGTCCTACCACATTATATCCTCAGTGCTATATTCAGTTTTACTTATTTACTCACATTTGAAATCATATGAAAATTGGGGAGGCAGCATACTTCCAGACAATCTAAATTAGTCTAAAAAAATGAAATAGTCAATAAAAGATCAAGTATACTCACAAAAATACAATGCTGTTCTAAATAAATGTTATACATCATAAATAGATACTTGTTTCAATGCCAAGTCTAAATGCACAGCACACTATTATTTGGATTTACCAACCATCAGCCTTTGGCAAACAAAACTATGATAATGAGGATACTAAATATTCAACGATACTGAAGTCTACAGTTAAATACTCAAATAACTGAAATATGCCACAAGTCATCATAAAAAAAGTTAATGAAACTTTACATTAGGCATGTTTCACCTTTTGGTAATACAAAATTATAAATATTAAAGCTCGTCGGAGGTGGACAGGAACCATAAGATCTGTATAAGTTGATACACATCTAATGGAAATGAACATAATTGATTTAAATAACAGAACAGTTGCAGACAGTAAGTGTCTAAGTCACATTAGTACTTTGATCACAGCAAAAAACTAACTTCACAGCATATGCCACATGCATACAGTAACTTGGGAATGCAAACCTACAAAAACATACAATCTATAGTCGTACTGTCACAACGTCACACGTTTCTAGACCACAGCCAAAATACAATGCTTAGTTTTCCATACAATCCCTACAAAGCTTTATTTGTAGAAGTTTTGAAAGAGATGGCTATGTGTTATAGAGCTTTAGTGTGGTTAGTAGTATTCAAACTAAATGGCATGTAATACAATGTAGTGCACCTATAACACTTTACAATATAGTAAATATAATGTTCATAATATAATAAGTATAGTGCAATGCAAAGTTAGCAAATTTTCTGGAAAATAGCATAAATTCTGTACTGAGGTAACGATGACAAAATCAACCGGATGGTGGAGACAGACTTGAAATTCAAGTTAATTAAGAATCAAAACGAAGAGACAAATATTTTGAGACTCTCTCAAATGTGCTCAGCTGTAGCTTAACCTCAAAAGTGAACGCTGAGTACTTGAGCTAAAATATAGCACAAGTCTAACATATCTGTATGTTGCTTGCAACTAAATACTGATAATATAACTTTTGTTATGAGATTGCAAATATGAGATCAGAGCAGTATTGGCATAATACAGAATTTTTGTTACAGTTTATTATAGTGGGTATAGTTTTAGGCGGTTTAAGCTGCACATGTTGTGTAAATTTTAACCTTAAATTCAATGATGGAAAAAAATATCCCCAAATCCCTAAGCAGTAAGCACCATTGCAATTTCTTGTTGAACAATGCATTTTCTATTTCAATGCAAAAACATCATTATACACCGCAAGATGCATAAAAAAATCATTCACTCATGAACTAGTCTGTATTTTTACAAGCTACCCCAAACCTGTGAATTCAACCTGCACCAAAACAAAGGTAAAATTGACATGTTCTGCCTTGTCAAATTAGGGGCATGGTGGTAATATCAAGCACTACAAAAAAGACCATAAACAATCCTTTTCTAGTACTTTGAGCAAGCTCATCCACAGACTACTTTTTTATATATCAGCATGGTGTTTAAAAGGCCTATTTAGCAACATCTTGGCCATGGAGGTTTATAATGAGTGCATTAGTTAGTTAGTGTAAATTGAATACATTTGGGAGGAAAATGTTCTGAGAAAAAAAAAAATCAAACTCTTGATTCTACATGTACCAAAATTGTCCTCGATTACAGATCCCATAAAATATCTTATCTTAGTGTCACTGCTCAGATTCTGACCTGCGACCTCTGGCTCTTCTCTGACTCATGGATTTGCGTGTTGCCACAGCGGCAGCGAATCCCACCAGACAACACACAGAAGTGATGCCCAACTTGACCGTTTCCAACCAATCAGGGATTCTATACCACATACATATTTGTATGTAATATATATATATATATATACATATATAAATTGTATGTATTATTTTTTAATGTTTATATATATGTATATATATATAATAGATAATAAATATTTGTATGTATAAAAATATACACATATACACACACATTTATTCATACATTAATTAGAAAATATATTTATCTATTTCACATTCTGAAATAGGTTTAAATAAAATGTAAAATAAATGTAAAAATACATACATTTGGTAAATGTATTTTTTCATGAAATAAATTAGGTATAATTTAATTGGTTCACCTGACAGGTCCTGCCATTAAGACACCTGTGATGCAAGTTAGGAGACCAACAGAGGTCACGGCCATCTGATGGTCACTTCCGGACTGCCAGACGAGTCGAGCGTTCTCCACAGCCTTTTCCGGCAGAAGACCCACCAGATCATCCCACATCATGCTGCCCTCCTCAGTCTTGCTTTCGCTGTCATTTTGGACTCAAAAGTGAACGCTGAGTACTTGAGCTAAAATATAGCACAAGTCTAACATATCTGTATGTTGCTTGCAACTAAATACTGATAATATAACTTTTGTTATGAGATTGCAAATATGAGATCAGAGCAGTATTGGCATAATACAGAATTTTTGTTACAGTTTATTATAGTGGGTATAGTTTTAGGCGGTTTAAGCTGCACATGTTGTGTAAATTTTAACCTTAAATTCAATGATGGAAAAAAATATCCCCAAATCCCTAAGCAGTAAGCACCATTGCAATTTCTTGTTGAACAATGCATTTTCTATTTCAATGCAAAAACATCATTATACACCGCAAGATGCATAAAAAAATCATTCACTCATGAACTAGTCTGTATTTTTACAAGCTACCCCAAACCTGTGAATTCAACCTGCACCAAAACAAAGGTAAAATTGACATGTTCTGCCTTGTCAAATTAGGGGCATGGTGGTAATGTCAAGCACTACAAAAAAGACCATAAACAATCCTTTTCTAGTACTTTGAGCAAGCTCATCCACACAGACTACTTTTTTATATATCAGCATGGTGTTTAAAAGGCCTATTTAGCAACATCTTGGCCATGGAGGTTTATAATGAGTGCATTAGTTAGTTAGTGTAAATTGAATACATTTGGGAGGAAAATGTTCTGAGAAAAAAAAAATCAAACTCTTGATTCTACATGTACCAAAATTGTCCTCGATTACAGATCCCATAAAATATCTTATCTTAGTGTCACTGCTCAGATTCTGACCTGCGACCTCTGGCTCTTCTCTGACTCATGGATTTGCGTGTTGCCACAGCGGCAGCGAATCCCACCAGACAACACACAGAAGTGATGCCCAACTTGACCGTTTCCAACCAATCAGGGATGTCCGTCTTGAGGTAACACTCGGCCAGGTAAAAACATATCACCAGGAGCCAAAGCACAGAGGCCACAGCGTCAATTCTCCTCAACCTTGAGGAGAAGAGAAATATATTTCATTTAATTGGTTCACCTGACAGGTCCTGCCATTAAGACACCTGTGATGCAAGTTAGGAGACCAACGGAGGCCACGGCCATCTGATGGTCACTTCCGGACTGCCAGACGAGTCGAGCGTTCTCCACAGCCTTTTCCGGCAGAAGACCCACCAGATCATCCCACATCATGCTGCCCTCCTCAGTCTTGCTTTCGCTGTCATTTTGGAGGGGGCGTTTAGGTGGGTTGACTCCTCCGCTTAATGTCTGCGAGATGGAGGAGGCCACATCTCCAGATCCAGACAAAGCCACAGCTACAAGGAAGGCACAGGCTAAAAACGCAAGGACTCTGAGCAAGATCAACCAGGCTGGTGTGGCGAGTGAGTAGGTGTTCTGAAGAAAAGGATAAAAAAATTATGAAAGATCACTTGATATGGGAATAGCTTTTGATACTTGCATGCCAAGCTTGATTAAAAACTAAACTTGAATCAACAGTAGCTGCACAATAAAATACTCAGGACACAAAAGAAGCAAGAGAGAACAAGTCTTTCCTTATCTCTGGCAATCAATTCCACACATTTATCTGCGGTTTAAGAAAACACTAGTAACAGACTGGTCATTAATCACACTTGATACATGTAACAAACGATACCTAGGTTGTAGTAAAATTGCAGTTTTATCTGGGCAACATCTAAATTCAATGCAATTTTTCCATGTCAAGCCCTTGGCACTTAATCAATCTCTTAGATTTCTAGAACATACACTTCAGAGTGCTACAAAAGTGTGGCTTATATAGAGATCACCACCTTAATAAAGGCTTTATCAGCATCCCGACTGCGTCTGAGTTGGTGGTTGAAGAGCAGAGCCCGCAGCTGTCGGTTCTGGTGTTTGATGTAGTACTCCACTGCCGTCTGGCACGGCCGGCACAACTTGTAGGTCTGCTCAAGGTGGTGCTTATATACCTCAATCTCCTCATCATAGTTTTCCTGCCATTATGGTGAACACAGTGCATTAAAATTTGTAAATGCATGTTACTTGTTTTTGAGCTGATGCTTTTCACATTTAAAATTTTTTTTTTTTAAATGTTTATTCTAGCTCAAATAAATTTGACTTTCAAGTATGTTTAGATGCCTACTGAATGCCATATTTAATCTATGACATTTTGCCTCAAAAAATGTATAAAAAGTAGTGCTGACAAACGATTAATCTTTATTTATTAATAAAAGTAAAAGTTTTTGTTTACAATGTATATGTGTGTGTACTATATATATTTATTATGTATATATAAATACACACACATTAGGGCTGGATGATATGGCCAAAATTGATATCACGATATATTTCTTAATTTCGGTCGATACGATATAATTCCGATATCGATATGAACACTATTTATCTGAAATAGAAATCTTTTGTAACATTATAAATGCCTTTATCATCACTTTTGATCAATTTTAAGCATCCTTGCTAAATAAAAGTATAATTTCTATAATTTCTTTCCCAAAAAAATTATAAAAATTATACTGAATGGAATAGTGAATAATGTTACAAAAGCTTTTTATTTCAGATAAATGCTGATCTTTGGATCTTTCTATTCATCAAAGAATCCTGAAAAAAAATGTACTCAACTGTTTTAAATATTGATAATCAGCAAATCAGCATATTAGAATGATTTCTGAAGGATCATGTGACACTGAAGACTGGAGTAATAATAAATCAATGTATGGGAAACACTGGTAATGTATATCGAAATATCGGAAATGTGTTTAAAAATCATATCACCGTTATTGAAAAAAATTATATCGCGATGCATATTGATATTGAATTATTGTCCAGCCCTAACACACATGCATGTATATATTTAAGAAAAATGTTACGTTTATATGTTAAATATATTTCTATATGATATATGTAAATATTTTCAAAATATATGCTGCATGTGTGTTTATTTATATAAACTAGGGCTGCACGATAAATCGCATGCGATATTTAACGCGCATCTTGTCAGTAAAGCCGGTTCTTTAATCAGCGGTAAATCTCCATCACCTGCGGGCTTTTCGTGCAGCCCTAATATAAACATAACAAATATACACAGTACACACACATATATTATGCGTTTGGATGTGATTAATCATGATTAATCGTTTGACAGCACTAATAAAATACATAAAAGCAAATCTTATTCAGAAACGAGCTTTAGACCTTGGCCGTCTTGAAATTAAGAGATTAAATGGGTGAATTATAAACCTACATTATCCCTGGGGATGAACGAGGCCAGCTGTTTAATCTTCAGAGTCTGGTTGTTGTTGCACTTCTTGCACAGAAGCATTTGACAGTTGACCCACTGCAGGGTCTTCGGTGACTCCGGGACACCGGCCGAAATGCCATGGTTGAGATGCTCCATGTATTGAGCAGGAATGGGTTTGTTGTAGTCCCCGTTCTATGAAAACAAGCACAAAACAAAAACTCAATTGCTTGACACTGACTAAATGTACATTTATAACATATCCAAAAGCTGCGTCAGCAACACAGTAATAAAACATAGAAAATGTGTTGTTCTTTTGAACTTTCTATTCATCAAAGAATCCTGAAAAAAATTTGTTTCCACAAAAATATTTAGCTGCACAACTGTTTTCAACATTGATGATAATAATAATTCATATTTCCAAATCAGCATATTAGAATGATTTCTGAAATAATGAAGGCTGGAGTAATGATCGCTGAACATTCAGTTTTGCCATCACAGTAATAAATTAATTTCAAAACAATTCAAAAGTTATCTTATAACGTAATAATATTTCACAATATTACTGTTTTTAATGTATTTTTAATTAAATAAATGCATTCTTGGTAAGCATATGAGACTTCTTTCAAAAACATAAAAAAAAAAAAACATCTTACCTAGCACAAACTTTGAAAGGTAGTGTATAAATAAACACATGTAACGTAATATTTTTGTCTTTTCAAAACCTTTACCAGTTGAGACAGAACAAACAAATCTTATAAACATAAAATCAATACCTCCTGAAAGCCATTATACTGTTCACAGTATGGACAATCCCAGCAGTTTCTGTTCCCATAGGGGACAATTGTGTCCTGATTGCAGAACCAACAATTCACTTTGACATGAGTTGGTTTTTTCCGAATAAAAACTGATTGCAGAACCAACAATTCACTTTGACATGAGTTGGTTTTTTCCTGTCGAATAAAAAGGTTGGATTTAGGAGCACAGCTGCAAATTACCATGCATTAATAACAGAAAACAACTGTAATACAATACTCCCATTAACACTGAGCTGACAGACCATCACATTGGTTCTCAATTAACAGGTCACAGGCCTGTTCTGCAGACAGACAATAATCCTGCAGTCTAATAACTAGGACTACAGCAGCACAGTGTTTTTGGTTGTATCAATTTCCATGGAACATGCAAGATATTCAGTGGAAATGAATGTAAAGCCTGAGCACTGAATCTAATGTAAAACTGAGATTTTGTTTTTCCAGACAGCACAATTGACCTCAGGACCTGAGACTGATTACCTAACAGTAGCATGAATAGAGTTTCAATTTACAGGCTGACAGAGGCTTGATTCATTAATAAACTCAGCCTGTGACATTATAAAAGATGATAACGCCATCCACATTAAGACAAGTGCTGGCATGTTTAATATTACTTAGAAATTTAAAAGAACTAAAATCCTGGACATGAATTACGTATCTTCAGGGCTCTACAGTGCGACCATTTCAGTCACATTTGCGACTGAAAACTACTGCGTGCGACTATGAAATTTTTTTTAGGAGCACCAGTGCGACTGACCCGATCATCATCATACTTGTGATTGCGCTCAGGGGAGCTTACATAAGAGATTCATTGCGCAGTGTAGAGAGCTTCGTTGATTATAGATGTGAGCTCGCGATGAACTAAGATGAGTGACAGCTTTTAATGATTTTTAATGGAGTTTGTAAATGTGATACTGATTTAATACAATACAATTCAATAAACAAGAAGTTAATATTAAGTGACTTACATTGTCTGACTATAACACTATTGTCTGATTTTGCTCTATTTCGTCGTCGAAAATAGTTTCAAACAAAGACACAGCGGAGCCGCTGCGCATCTCCATTCAAACACAGCGGTGTCTCGTTTATGAATGAACGTGCGTTTCTGAACGAATCTAGTGAGTCAGTGATTCATGATTACCCATTCATAAAGACAGTCAATTTCCTTCATTCCTGAATGAATCAGCCGTTCGAATGAATCAGTTGAATGAATGATTCAGTGATAAAAATCAGTGACTTGCCGCCACCTGCTGGCAGTTTGTTTCATTTTTAAAGTATCTTTTCAGTTATTTAAATCATTTAATATTTCTATATTCAACATTTTATATTTAAAACATTAATATCATCATGACTTTATGGATTTAATTGCACTCATTCCACTTCTGAGCCTCATTAAATGTCTGAAAGTACACCAAGCCACTTTTGTGTTCTTCTGTGCCACCTCTACAAACTAATTTTGTTAATACTGATTTAATTTGATTGGTAACTTATATTTCTTATTCTACTTGTTCTTATTCTGTCGTTTTAATTAAAATTTTTAAAAAGCTTATAAAATATAATTTTTTTAAGAATTTGACAGAAGATGACATACTTTTAATAAAGTTAAAGGAGTCAAATATCACCTCGTAATGGGAAGGCTACTTTTTGATAAAATTTTGGATAATTGTTTAGAACGTGCTCCTAAATTTTTTAAGTTAGGAGCACAAGTGCTCCTAAAAAGAAAAGTAAGCGTAGAGCCCTGATCTTACTACTCCACAGCCTATTAAATTATGTAAATGAATACCTTGTACTAGACAAAATATGACTGATTATTTAATATAAGATCACAGCTTTTGTGTAATACCAATAAGAGAAGTTGGGATCTTCAACGTCCACTTTTGCTTTAAGTCTAGCATTATACGCATCATTTTGATAGAAATGAGTCTTTTCCGAAGAAGTTGCTCTTACCACGGTAATTAGTTATCTGTCAAAATAACAATTACTTGGAAAAGCAGTCATTCTTGAGAAGTGGGACAAAACAGGGTGCAAAATTGAAAAAATAAAACCTTGTACTCAGACAAATGAAACTACATTTATGTATCTTATATGTACTAAGCTACTGAGCTATGCTTTGATACAACCTCCCAACTTTTCTCTTTTTTAACAAAATGTGCTTTTTTACCTTGGACTGTGTAATATAATTTCAACTTTATCTTTAACAGCATTCAAGATGTTTTTAACATTTCAAAACACATTCTCGTGTTAGCAGACAGATTACACTTTCACGTGACCAATAATTCCACAACAAATATAAAATATCATAAATATTATCAAAATATTCAACTGACGGAGTTGACACATCTGACGGAGGTGACGAAAACCTGAATTTGTA